CGGTGCCGGGCCGACCGCGCGCCAGGCTGCCTACCTACCAGACCACCCCATTGGAGGCCTGGAAATGGGCACCAACACCAACACAGGGGGTTGCCTCCACAGGGGGAAGGTGATCCTAGATTTTGGTGTTGGTGGTAATATTTCGGCCACCTTGGAAGCCAGAATATTACCACCATCACCGAGATCGGGATCTTCTTCCCCCGGTGGAGGCACACCGCCGAAATTGGTGTTGGTGTCAACCTCTAGGCCTGCGACCCCAACCCGACCCGACGGCCCGACTTTCGGGTGGGGGGGGTACCGGCTTCAGATGTGTTCTTTCAGTGCTCCCCGGCACCCCCCCCTGGAATTGAGTCGGGCCTGTCCCTCTACAAGAGGAATATTCAAAAATAGGTTTAAAAATAGTCTGGGGACTATTTTTGGGAACATGTTGGGCATCTTTTGAATATTTCTTGAATACTTTTTATCTTAAGTCCAAAATCCCCCTGTAGGGGAACAGGCCCGACTTAACCCTGGAAGTGGAGGGCAAATCGGGGCCTTCGGATTGGGCTGGGGGGTGGGCTGTGTGGGTGGAGTCAGGCGTCCTCCGCGCCCGGCGCGCCGCCGCGGCCCCCGCTGCGCAGCGGGCCGCGGCGGCGCCCCGAGGCCGCGCCGCGCCGCCAGGGCGGAGTGCCGCGGAGTCGGGAGAGGCCCAGGCCCCCCCCCCTGGGGTCGTGCAGGAAACGCGACATGGAAGGCGTCGGCAAACTCCCCAGGCAGCCCCACGCGCAGCCGCCGCCGAGGGGGGACAGGGGTCCTCAGGGGAACGGGTCCGGAGGCTCCTCGCCATCTTCGGCCTCACCCAAAAAAGGCACGACGTCGGGGGGGCCTGGAGGAGCCGGCAGAGCGATCGAGGATCCTCGGCACGTGCGTCCTGGCGCCAGCGCGCGCTGGCGGCCACCGCTGCCCTTCCAGGTGCGACGCAGGCAGCGTGCTTGACGGGGGCCGGCGCGGGCTGCGTGCTGATTACCGGTGGAGCCGAGCGGCGTCCGCACGCACTGGGCCGGCTCTGCCGTCGGCGGCGCCTCAGGTCCAAGACGCGGTCGGGGCAGCCGAGGGGCACGCGGGAGCCCAACTGGGCACGAAAGGAATAGAGAGAGAGAGAACAAGCGCCAGAGACAAAGACTTGTGGCGCTCCGCGCGGATTTCGTGGATCTGCGCCGGGACCCCCGGCGGCGCAGCACGCTGAGACCGGGGAGATCTTGTGCGCGTGTGCCACCAGGCATCCAGCCGCTCCACGGCTTCCATGCGTCGGCCCCGGAAGAGACCACGTCCCTACAGGGTTAGGTCGGGCATGTCCCCCTTCAGGCGGATTTGGGACGAAAATAAAAGATACGGAACAATATTCCAAAAATGCTCAAACAATGAATCGGCAAATCGTCCCCTGACTATTTGTTGACTATTTTTGAATACTCCTCATGTCGAGGGACACGCCCGACTTAGACCACGTCACTACAGGGCCAGTTCTCCATCCCGAATCGTCTCTGGACGCTCCCGAGGCCCAGCGAGGGCCCCCAGAGGCCGAACACGGCCAACGACCGCCCGCTCCCACGGTTTCTGGAGCGCGCTGGATCTCTGGATCAGGGCACGTGGCTCCCAAGCGCACTGGGCCAACGCACGTCCAGAGGGCGCTCGACGATAGGAGCGAGGCTAGTGAGGGCCGCGGCGGCGGTCGCCGGGGCCTGGCGGCCTCGAAGACACGTGCCGGCGGCCTCGGTGGTGCCCGAGGGCTCCCCCCTTGGCTGCCGCTCTCGCGCGCGGGCCTCGCTTCCCGGGGGGGGCGATGCACCCAGGCCCCCTCGGGCAAGGAAGAAATCATGACGGGAGGGTCTTCCGTATCTTCTGCCTCCAGAGGCCCTCACGGGCCCTCGGGACCGTCAAAAAACCCACCCAGGATGGATGAAACACCGGTCCAGGGGAATGGGTGGAGACCTCTGAGGGCCGACGCTATGACGAAGACATGACCTCGGGGGTCTAGGCATGGGGACCCTAAAAACCCTAACGGCCCCCTTGGGGCCCTCAAGGCCCACTTCTGGGCCCTGAAGGTTCACGTCTCGGGCCCTCAGCGCCCCCCTCCTCTAAAGGGACCCTCCAGGGAGCGAGGAGGAGGAGAAGGAGGAGGAGCGAGGAGGAGGAGGAGGAGGAGCATGAGGAGAAGCATGAGGAGGAGCATGAGGAGGAGGAGGAGGAGGAGGAGGAATAAGAATAAGAATCATAATAATAATAAGAATAATAATAATAATTATAATAATAATAATAATAATAATAATATTAATAATAATAATAATAATAATAATAATAATAATAATAATAATAATAATAATAATAATAAGAGGAGGAAGAAGAGGAGGAGGAGGAGGAGGAGGAGGAGGAGTGGGCCCATTGTCGGCAGCCCTCGCTGGCTGCCCGCCGCTGATCGCCCCCCATGACGCGACGCCCAACTCACATGCCGCCCTCTCGCTGCCGGGGCGCGTTCTTGATGATGTCGTCGACCCGGATGATCATCTCGGCGGCCTCCGCCGCGGAGCAGAGCTGGGAGATCTTGCTCCGGAACGACTCCATGATGCCCGGGGAACAGGCAGCGACAGGAACACGAGCTTCCGGAGCTCCGCGCGGACTTCTCGGATCCGCACCGGAGCCCCTCTGGCGAAGCGCCCCCGGCGCCGTCCCTGGGCGCGCTCCGCGCGCCCAGGAGGGGGGGGGGTCCAACGCCGATCGGAGAGATCCGCGCAGGCCTCCGAAAGTTCGTGTGCATGCCAGCAGGTGTTCCTCGAGATGCCCAGCGCCGCCATGTCCGCGACCTTGCCGGTGGTGAACTCCAGGCCGTGCGATGACTCGCCCCGAGCGTGCGCCGCCCGCAGCTGCCCGACGAGCTCGGCGGAGTCGTAGCCGCTGTTGTCCGCCAGGATCGTCGGTATCTGCTGCAGGGCCTTCCCGAAGGCCTCCATCGCCATCTGCTCTTTGCCCTCCACCTCTAGGGAGCAGCCAGCGGAAGCTTTTGGTCCTCCCCCTGCTGCCCAACAGCGCGCCCAACAGCGCGGCCAAAAGCGCGCAGAGCGGCGTCACGCATCTTCCTCAGATGGCGCCGTTGTGCGCCCTTGGGTGCCATTCGGCGCTACTGGGCGCTTTGGCGCGGTGTTGGGCGCAACGGGGCGCTAGCAGGCGATACATGGGCGCTAGGGGCGCTGTCGAACGCTGGTGGGCGCTATTGGGCGCTATCCGCACGGAAATACATTCGATACAAGACGAGCGGAAGCTTCAGTGACTGACTGTCTGACCACCTGGCCCATCTTGTCCATGATCGCCTTCGACATCGCCATCTCGCAGCACCCTCCGCCGTGCACGACGCGAGTCTCCTGAACGGTCTGGTACAGCACGGCCAGCGCGTCGTGCAGGGAGCGCTCGGCCTCGTCCAGGATGTGCGTGGAGGCGCCGCGCAGAATGATGGTGCAGGCCTCGCCCTGCGAGCAGCCAGAGAACTTGATCACCTTGTCCTCGCCGATCAGCATCTCGGAAATCTCCTTGCAGCTACCGAGCTTGACCTGCTCCGGGTTGTCGAAAGTGGACACGATGTCGGCGCCGAGCACAGCCGCCAGGCGCTCGCTGCCCTCGAAGTCCGAGTGCTCGATGGCCATCACCCCGTTGTCCTTGAACAGCTGGTCGGGATAGTTGTAGATGAGCTGACGGTTAATGAACACGTTGCAGCCGTGCTTGCAGATCTTCTCCACCTTCGTCTTCATCTTGTCTTTCTCGGCCTTCTCTATCTCAGCAACGGCCTCGAACGAATCGGTTTTGACGCGGGCACCGTAGATCTTGATCTTGTCGGTGTCCATCTGGCAGTTCGCCACCAGGATCTTACAGTCGTTGAGCAGCTTGGGGTGCCCAACCGAGATCTTCTTCTCGAGGATAAACCCCTCCTCCAAGAAGGAGTCCTTCAGAGACGCTCCTGGCTTCTTGATGACCTGGATATAATCCAGGTTGGGCTTGCCCTTCAGCCGCAGCACCGCGTCCACCGCCAGCGTCGCAAAATGATCCTTCTCGTGTTTCAGCAGCTTCGAGCTCAAGGTCGTCCGCGCAATCTTCAACAAGTCCTCCCGGAACGCAGCCGGGTCGGCCCCGTGGTCCTGCGCCATGGCCTCGAGCGTCTCCCGTGCGGTGGCGAGCGCCAGGCGGTAGCCCTTGATGATGACCTGGGGGTGCATCTTCTGCTCCACGAGCACCTGGATGGCGAGAGGAGCAGAGTCTCGAGCACGACAACGCAGCACCCTCATCGTGAGGCCGACAGTCAAAGCGCGCAACAAGGATGCGAAGTCACGCAAGAGTCTTGGAGGTTCCACATACCACCGAGAGCTCCTCGGACAGACGTCAAGATTGGCTCAGGATGGGCCGAAGAGGCAGGCATGCGAGGGCAGCCTCGATGAAGCAGCGCATGCTTCCTGTGGATTTGGACTGCACGTACGGCCGCCAGCGCGAGGCACCGGCAAGGAAACGAAGGGTGCGCTCACGCGCGGCCTCGCGTCAGACGCAGAGAAGAGGAAGTCACAACCGCGGGGCTGAGGCAGCCGCCCCCGGGCGCCATCCCAGGGACGACCCCCACCCCCCAAGCTGGGGAAACCCAAAGGTACCGATGCCGCTACCCCTCGGACCTCTCCCGGAGTGCGCTCTGACCAGAAGTTCGAGGCGAATCCAGCGGTGGCGACGAGGGCCTCCCAGGAGGCCCAAGAAGGGGAAAACGGGCAGAGGGTAGCAGTATAAGTACGTTTTCCTCCTCTGAGCTGAGGAGGCCGCTCCAGGGCGCCATCCCAGGAACGACCCCCACCCCCCAAAAGCAGTGATGACCTGCGCGCTGCGCCCGCTTTCGACTGCCACGCAAGGTCTCAGGGTCTCATGAGGAGGAGGAGGAGGAGGAGGAGGAGGAGGAGGAGGAGGAGGAGGAGTGGGGAGGAGGAGGAGGAGGAGGAGAGGGGGGAGGAGCAGGAGGAGGTGGAGGAGGAGGAGGAGAGGAGTGGGAGGAGAAAGGGAGAGGGAGGAGAGGGAGGAGGCTGAGGAGAGGAGGAGGAGGCTGAGGAGGAGGAGGAGGATAAGGAGGAGGAGGAGGAGGAGCAGGAGAAGGAGGAGGAGGAGGAGGGGGAGGAGGAGAAGGGGCAGGAGGAGGAGGAGGAGGAGGAGGAAGAGGAGACGCGCGAGTCGGCGCAGACGGTCCCACTTGAGCGACGAAAAGAATGGGGCTTTTACGCCAGATGACGACGCGACCTTCCGCCGCAGCTTACGTGGGCCGCCAGCGCGTTACGCTACGCTGGAGGCGAGGGCGCTTACGCGCGATCTTGCACGGGCAACTTACGCGCCAACGTCGGCGCAGACGACCCCCTTTTCTTGCGTCGCCCACTTGACTTCGCCGCGAACCTGGGCGTTCCGGAGCATCTCCGCCGCCAGGACGACGACGGAGGTGGTGCCGTCCCCGCACTCCGCGTCCTGGGTCTTCGAGATGTCCACCAGGATCTTCGCCGCGGGATTGTCGATCCAGATGGACTTCAAGATGGTTGCGCCGTCGTTCGTTACTGTCGCTTGGCCCTGGGTGCCTTGTCCGGGCATGGGCTGCAAAATCTTGTCCATGCCCTTGGGACCCAGCGTGGACTTCACGAGGTCACCGATGGCTATCGCTCCTATGAACGCTTGGAGCCTCGCGTTTTCGCCTCTCTCCTCGCTGGCGTTCTCCTTCAAGATGCTAGGGCCGCCTGCCAATACGCGGTGCATGGCCCAAAATTCTCAGCGTGCCCGTCCCCTGGGCCCCCCAACAGAAAGAGTTACTGCGTGAGGCCAGGCAGCTTGAGCCCAACTGGTCACAAACCGCCATGCGGAAGAGGAGGAGACGAAGATGAGGCGGTGACCCGTGCAAGACTTCTGCAGATGTTGAGCTCGAAAAACTTCCAAGCCAGACCATGAGCTACTCGGCCAGATCAAACTGGATTTGGCCAGATGCAAAACCAACGAATTTGTTGAGCCAATGACTGCCACAGGGCTCTTTCTCAGAGTGCGTTCGGTGCCTGAGCCCATTCGGCCAGCGAGAGGACAGCCGAAGGGGCTCAATTCCCAGAGAAAAGTGGCAGCTTGGCGCGATCCGCAGCCGGATGGACTCGATCCCAAGCCCACTCGGTTGCCGAATTGGCTCAGACGCCGACTGGGCTCAGGATGCACCCCTGGTGTAAACTCGCCCTCCTCCAAAAGCTGCAGTCCAAAGGCAGAGTGAGGGTCCGCCTTGTTGTGCCCACTGGCAGCCGAAGCGCTGGTTTCAATCAGAGGGCCCCGTCCCCCCCCCCCCCTCTTTTAAAAGAGGGGGGAGGGTCCGGACACCCCCCCCTCCCCCCCTTTCGCCTCGCCGCCCCCTGGCTCCGGAACCCAATCCCTACCACACCTAACCCTCAACCGAATCACTGCCCTAACCCCTAACCCCTAACCTAACCCCCTACTCCTAACCCTAACCCCTACCCTACCTTAACCTCTACTCGAACCCCTACCCTAACCCGTAATTCAAACCCTAATACCCACCCTGAACCCCTCAGTTTCTCCCTCCCTCCCTCTCTCCACCCACTGCTCCTCCTCCTCCTCCTCCTCCTCCTCCTCCTCCTCCTCCTCCTCCTCCTCCTCCTCCTCCTCCTCCTCTTCATCCTCCCCTTCCTCCATGCGCGGCAGGAGCGAAACGATTGGGGGTACATCACGCGTGGCTGGACTGAGACGCGGCGCACTTCGCGCGCTGGACATGTTGTCGCCGACGATGTAGCATGAGAGGCCGGAGCGGGGCGCGGCGTACATCGCGCGCGGTTTTGTTTCTCGTCGACGTTGCCCAATACGCGGCAGGAGTAGGACGCAGCTCATGTCGCGCGCTGAACGTTTAGCCGCCCACGATATAAGATGAGCGACAGGCGTCGGACGCGACACACTTGCTTCTTATGTTGTGGGAGGGCGGGTGGGAGTGGACGGAGCCCTCTGGCTCGTTCGAGCTGGCTAACGTGACCCTAACCCCTACCCCAAGCCCTAACCCTAAACCTTAACCCCCACCCGAATCCAACCCCTACCATAGCCCCTGATCCTAACCCTAGCCCCTACCCTAACCATGACCCTAACCCCTGCCCCTAACCCTACCCCTTACCCCTAACCCTGGCCCCTAACCCTAACCCTAATCCCTGACCCTAACCCTAAGACCTAACCCTAACCCCTAACCCTACTCGAACCCCCTAACCCTGACCCGAATCCCGAACCCTTACCCTAAGCCCTAATCAAACCCCCTACACCCTAACCCTAACACCCAGCCCTGCCCTAACCCCTACCCTAACCCCTAACCTTAGCCCTAACCCCGATCCTAAACCCGAGCCCTAGCCTAACCCCTAACCCCTTTTATCCTTGTTCCTTATTATTAAATACCCCCACCTACCTCGTATTCCGGCCGATAGCGGCACAATCCGGGACCTCCCATCCGGACTGTAAAAAATCAATACAAAGTGGCCGCTTTTCTTCTCAACATCGTCTTTCTTGTCGTCGACGATGCGAAAAGCGTGGCAGGAACGGGACGCGGCGCACATCGCGCGCGGCAGTCAATCTGGGCCCGCCCACCCTGACTGTAATAAATCCATACAAAGTCTTCGCTTGTTCATCTCAGCATGGCATGCCTTGTCGCCGACGGTGCGAAATATGCGGCAGAATCGGGACGCGGCGCACATCACGCGCGGACGTCCATGCGGGCTGCGGGCCCTCCCATCCGGACTAGTGCTACCAGTACCATTGGTACGACTACTACTACTACTACTACTACTACTACTACTACTACTACTGCTACTACTTTTTCTGCAAATTGTACTACCAATGGCATTACTACGAGTCTAGCAGTAGTACAAGTATTACTAGCACTTCTACTTCCATAGTGCTACTACTCTGTACGACTACTCGCACGAGTACTTGTACTACCTGTAGTACTTCTGCTTATACGACTCGTATTATTACTCGTACTACTAGTACGACTACCTATTCGTATCCTCACTCTACTACTACTACTACTACTACTACTACTACTACTACTACCACCACCACCACTACTACTACTACTACTACTACTACTACTACTAACTAACTACTCTACTACCTACGACTACGACTACGACACGACTACTAGACGACTACTAAACTACTACTACTACGACTACTAGTACTACTCTACTACTACTACCACTACTACTAACTGACTACTACCACCACTACCTAACTACTACTACTACTACGACTACTACTACTACGACTACGACTACTACTACTACTACTACTACTACCGACTACTACTACTACTACTACTACTACTACTACTACTACTACGACTACTACTACTACTACTACTACTACTACTACTACTACTACTACTTCTACTCCTACTACTACTACTACTACTACTACTACTACTACTACTACTACTACTACTACTACTACTACTACTACTACTACTACTACTACTACTACTACTACTACTACTACTACTACTACTACTACTACTACTACTACTACTACTACTACTACTACTACTACTACTACTACGACTACGACTACTACTACTACTACTACTACTACTACTACTACTACTACTACTACTACTACTACTACTACTACTACTACTAACTCTACTACTATTACTACTACTACTACTACTACTACTACTACTACTACTACTACTACTACTACTACTACTACTACTACTACTACTACTACTACTACTACTACTACTACTACTACTACTACTACTACTACTACTACTACCTACTACGCGCCAGCACCCAGTTGCGCCAGCATTGTTTCTTATGGTGTGGGAGGGCGGAACGTGTCCGTTGTTCGTTTCAACATGGCCAGTCTTGTCGTCGACGATGCGAAATGCGTGGCGGGAATGGGACGCGGCGCACATCCCGCGCGGACGTCAATGCGGTGTCCTGGGGTATCCTCCACTCGCACTAAAATGCCCGCGCAGCCCCCAGTTGTGCCATCACTGTTTCTTATGTTGTGGGAGGGCGGGTGGGAATGGGCATGCCATGCTTGACTCGCTCGAGCTGGCTAGCTTGACCCCCACCCCCAACCCTGACCCTAATCCTTAACCCCAAACCCTATGCCCTAACCCTAACCCCTAAACCCTACCCTAACCACTAACCGTAACCCGAATCCCTACTCTTAACCCTAAGCCCCAACCCGAACCCCAACCCTAACCCCTAACCCTAACCCCTACCCTAAACCCTAACCCAGACCGAACCCCTACTCCTAACCCAAACCCCTACCCTAACCCTAACCTAATCTCAACCCTAAACCCTCACCCCTAACCCCTAACCCCTGACCCTAACCCCTAAACCTAACCCTAACCCTCGCTCGCCCCCCCCCCCGTCTCCAGCGCCAAGGGGGGGGGGTCCGAAAATATCCCCCCGGAAGGGGGGGGGGTCTGGGAGCCCCCCCCCCCTTTCAGTTACGAGGTGATCCACTGGCGCTCTTTCCCAGTTCACACTCAAGGCTCATCAACCATGTTTGAATAAATCCTCCCTCCAAGCTCCCTCCCCACAGCCCCTATACAAGGGGTCATTTCTACTGAGGGAACTGCCTCGTTGGGAGACAACAGCTTGAAGACCCCGAAGCATCCCAACACACCACTCTCAGGACTCCAACGCCACGAATCAACATGACTATCGCGTCTCGACGGTCCTGAATCCAGCCAGAACACCATTCCTGCGACTTCAACACCGCGAATCAACGTAACTGTTGCGCCCTCACAATCCTGACTCCCTCCAAAACACCATGTCTGTGAATTACGTTGACTCTGGCAGCCCGTGAGAAACACTTGCAAATTCTTGAAACGAATGTGCGCGGCGCTGAGGCGACAACCACAATTTGAAAAGGAGCCGCCCTCGATCCATAAAAGGGAGCCGCCCTCGATCCATGTGAAATACAAGAAAACTATGTTCTTGTGTGTTTCTATCCGTTCATAGTAAAACATTATGCGCGGGGCCAGGGCGAGAGCCACACTCGCCCTCAAGCCGTGAAACTCTTGCAACTTCCGAACTATTCTGTGGTGTTCCTCCTGCAGACTCCTGTTCTGAACTCCGGTTCCTTCTCCCTCCCCCCCTCCCCCTCCTCCCACCATTGCCCTCTGCCCTCCGCACGTCCACCACTGCAGCGCAGCCATTACAGCGCCCCGTGGCCCCATAGGGAGCTCTTCCGAAGGCCCCAGTGGCTGTGATCACACGCGTCCCCGCCACCCAGTACACCGCTCCGTGGCCCCAGAGGGAGCTTCACCGAAGGCCCCAGCGGCTACGATCACATGAGTCCCCGCCTCCCATGTCGGCACACCCCTCACGCGCTTCGTGGCCCCAGAGGGAGCTCCCCCGAAGGCCCCAGCGGCTGTGATCACATGCGCCTCCGCCCCCTACATCGACATACACCCCACACGTTTCGTGGCCCCATACGGAGCTCCACCGAAGGCCCCAGTGGCCACGATCACATGCGTCCCAGCCACCCATTTCAGCACCCCCTGACACGCTTCGTGGCCCCATAGGGAGCCCCACCGAAGGCCTCAGAGGCTGTGTTCACATGCGTCCCCGCCACCCGTGTGGGCACACCCCTCACATCACGCTTCGCGGCCCCATAGGAAGCTCCCCCGAAGACCCCGGTGGCTGTGATCACATGCGTCCCCGCCACCTATGCTGGCACACCCCTCACACGCTTCGTGACCCCGTAGGAGC